ACACGCGAACTCATTTTTTTGGTTGATTTTTCTTTATTAAATGGCATTTAAATATATAAAATAAATATCAAAAATATAAATCTTTGTTTTACTATGGTGGCAAATACCAAAAAATTTCTATATGTGACACGGCACCAGAGTTAAGTTAGGGTTTTTCAAAATGCTGACAGGCTGAGCTCAAAAGGTTCACCATCACTGGTATATACCAACCCACACAGACACCCGCCAAATTAAGAGAGGAGGGCTAATATACGTGAATGCATGGACCACTCATGAGGAAGTACTGCACATACACTTAAGGGGAGGGAGTCCCTCCACTAACCATGAGCTTTACAAGGTCTGAAAGTCTCTGCCTCATCTCTCTTTCATCTCCCCAACGTACTCACTGTGACATGGGAGGGAGCCAGCAGAGACAGAGGGGCCCATGGAATAACCCACTTATCTCGTGGCAATAACAGTGATGATAATACAATAACAGTGAGAATCATGGATGGAGCCTTTCTTTGGACCAGGCACTCTACAAGGTGCTCTTTCAGTCGGTTTTATGAATCCCAGAGGTCTCTACCTTTTCCTTTTTTATTCTCCCTACCAGGGTTTCTGCAGTCCCTTCTCTTCTTCTAGATCACACTGCAAACTTCATAATTTCCCTTTAAGAACTCAGAAGAATTATAGACAGTACGGATCTGAAGGTGGATTATGTGTGAGAAGTGTGGGAAGTCTAGGACGAGCCAGCATTTGTTGGTGATGTGTCAATGAGTCTTTGCTAACAGGGCTTCCCTTGAGCCATGTTCAATTAAAGACACACCACAACTTAGAACATTCACCCTGAGGCTTTGAGATATCTGAGATGGAAATCGGTTGGAACTGGTTCAGGAACAATTTATTAAAGTGTTGATTTTTTTTTCTTCATGCAACTATGGCTCTTTATGCACCTCTCTTTCTGGCAGCCCTGCCCTTCTGTTGTCTATATAAGTCACAGTCTATGGTCCCACACCCAGTCCTCCGTCTGCTCTGCCATCAACTACTCTGGAGGGTCATCAAGAACCATGGTGCCCAGAATCTTTGGTAAGAGAGCCCCAGCCCCAAGTCTAGCTTATGTGTTATCACACCCCTAATGTACCTCTGAGCCCCCAAATTAATTCTCTTTCCTACTCAATTATTGGCTTCCCATCCCATAACTCCCCTGTGACATGTCTAACTGAATTACAATCTCCCCCGCAATCTGCAAATTTCAGAATCTTAGCTCTTCCCAGAGTCCTCCCTGCCACCCAGAGTCCATCTCAAAATCTACTCTGAGCTGTTGACAATGAAAGAAGCTCATTGGGATCATCTTGGGCCCCACAATAGTGACCAGAAGGCTACTCTCCAGAATTATTCTCATTCCCCTTCTGCTTCTCAGCTGCCGTCTTCATTTTTGAACTCCTGTTCTCAGACTTAGAAGGACTCACAGGTGAGAAAGGTGCAGGGAGGAGGCTCCCAATGTCTAAGACCGGTCCTGGAGCCCATTCTGCTCTGGCTTGTTCAGATCCTGGGCTGTGGATGTGCCATCCAGCACCCAGGTGTGGGGACGCGATCTACAACCCCTTGGAGCAGTGCTGTGATGAGGGCACCATCCTGTCCTTGAACCACACCCGCCTCTGTGGCCACAGCTGCACCTTCTGGCCCTGCTTCCAGCACTGCTGCCTTGAGTCCTGGGGCTCTCAGAATCGGGCCACTGTCAGGTTTAAGGTCCCAGGCACAAAGTCCAGCTGCATTGCCTCCCCCCTCAGCAGGATCTGTGGCCAGGTAAGAGTCCAGTTCTGGCTGTGGGCAGGGCAGGGGTGGCATTTGTTGCATCAGTCTCTGCTGAGTTTCCCATCACCCATCTCCGGGTCAATATGTCATCTGTCCTCTCTCTCTGTCTCTCTGGTTTATAGGTAATATGCTCCTGGGCTTAACTCCAAGGGCAACGGGAGGAGAGTTTGGGAGGTCCAAGAGCTCTGTGGTTCCATTTCTTTGTCTGAACACCACCACCCTGCCAACAGTGCAGGGACACATGGCAGAACCTGAGTGCTCTGTCAGGCAACTCAGACACTATTTGCTCCCTTGGCACTGTCCCTGCTGGGCTGCCCCTTACAGCTCTCTGTTCCTCCCAGCCAAAGGGAATTCCTGATACATCCCGCTTCCTCCCTCTCCAGGTCCAGCCATGAGCTTCTGGCTGCAGGGCTGCTTCTCTGGGCCTTCTGCACTTTCCTCCCTTCTCCTCTCCCTGTTTATTCTTGGTTGCCCTCTTTTAGATGGGTCAATGCCCGGTTTCCTCAGGCATGGGTCTGTGTTGAGCAGTGATTTCTTTGTTGAATTATAGTTAGTTAGTTAGCAATTCAGGTCCTTTGCATTTCAATGCAAGTTGTAGGATCAGTTTGTTGATTTCTGAAGTCTTCCAATTTATGAACATGGATGCATTCCAGTTTGTTTATGTATTCTCTTCACTGTCTTTTAACAATGTTCTGTTGTTCTCAGTTTACAAAGTTTGCACTTCTTTTGTTAAGTTTATTCATGAGTATTTAATTTTGGTTCTATTGTAAATAGAATTATTCTCTTAATTTCATTTTCAGATGGTCTTTGCTAGTGTATACAATTGATTTTTATATGTTGATCTTGTATCTTACAACCTTGCTGAATTTCTCAGTTTTTTCTGTTGGGTCTTGGTAGCTTCCTTAGAATTTTTAATATACAAGATCATGTCATTTGCAAATAGAAATAATTTTACTTCTTTTCCAATCTGAATGCACTTTCTTTCTTTTCTAGCCTATTTTCTCTGGCTTAAACATCCCGTACTATGTTGAATAGAGTGGTGGGAGTGGACATACTTGTCCTGCTCTTGATGCTAAAGGGAGAGCCTTCAGTCTTTCACCATTTAGTATGATATGTTGTGAACTTTATTGTGGGTAGCCTTCATCAGGTTGAGGAGGTTCTTTTCTATTAATAGCTTGTTCTATGTTGGGGTTTTTAAAAGTATGAAAATGTAGATTTTGTCAAATGCTTTTTCTTTAACCTATATTATAGTCATGTTATTGCATCTATAAAAAACATTCATGTCCATCCTTTTGAACTTCATCTCTCAAACTTCATCTGCAGTCATGGTGCCCAGAAGCTGAAATACAGGAGAGCTCCAACTCCAAGACCTAGTCAAGCCAAATCATATCCCCAAAAGCAACCATGCACCCCAATTCTCCCCCCCCTCTAACCTCAGCTTCCTTCATCCTTCCAAATCACTTTATTGATACCTTTAACACCTGCTCTGCCTTTCTCCCACCTGGGAAACTTCACTGCATTCTTACAATTGTAACATATGGTTCCAAGAGTTCCCCCTCCCCCCCCCCCCCCCCCCCCCCCCCCCATTCTCTCCCCTCAAGGGATCCAGTATGTTTAGACCCAGATTTCTGGACTCTTACCTGTGTCAGGAACTAGTAGACCCTACGTAGAGATGATCCCAAACTCAAATCTTTAAAACAAATCTGGAACTAAGCCTTCCCCACACTGGCCTGCCCTCCCTGAGGTCCACAACCCCAGCCCTGGCCTTAACCCTCCTTTCTTCTTCTCCAGGTTTCAACAGCATATTAGCCTTCCTCCTCCTTCTCCTGTGCTTAAAGTCAGGTGAGTGCAGGGTGGAAAGAATGAAGAGGGATGAGACTGCCCTTGGGAAGTGGTTTAAAGAGGCCCCTGATTCAGGGGATGGGGATAGTGCCTAGTTCTCCTTGAAGTCACCAGCAATTTGTCTCCAGGGGCCCACATGAACTCCGGCCTGTGGCTGTGCCAGCAAGCACCCAGATGTGGGAACCATATGTACAACCCCATGGAGCAATGCTGTCATCATGACACCATCCTGTCCTTCAACCGGACCAACCTCTGTGGCCCCGGCTGCACGTTCTGGCCCTGCTTTGAGCTCTGCTGTCCCGAGTCGTTTGGCCCCCAGAAGAGATTTGTTGTGAGATTGAAGGTTCTAGGCATGAAGTCACGGTGCTCTACCTCTCCCATCTCCAGAGTCTGTCCCAAGTAAGGACCTGCCTCACTCAAGATGACAACAGGACAAGGGGGCTAAGGCAGGGATGGATTCTGGAGGCTGGGGCCCTACTGGATAGGGATCCCAGTCCTGCATCTCCCCATCCCTCTCCATCTCTGCATCTCTCCGAAACTGCTCAGTCTCCATCTCTTTCATTTTCTGCAGCATATGAGGGACAACCTGGCCATCCTACTGGAACCTTGGAACATCTGGCTAAACGCACGCACCCTAAGATATGAGAGGAAATGGGTGGATTTCATAGTTTTCAAATGATAAAAACATGTCCTAGATTCTGGTGAGGTTAGGTGTGTTCTTTCTGAATTTCCTGTGGCAACTTGCTGAGCAATGATTACACAGGAACTTCTCTCTGCTCCTAAAGCCCCCCCCGACCCTGCCCACAGCAATCAGTGTCTCCTCAGTCAGCCTAAGTATCCTCTCTCTCCTCTGGGTCAGGGTTCTTCTCTCTTCAAGGGGACAAGGAGTGAGGCTGGGAAGGTGGATATTCCTCCCTGTGGGGGAGACGACCCAGCCCCAGAGCCACCTTGTGGTTCCTGCACCTGCAGCTCCTATGGGAGGTGGGGAGGATGGAAGCTGCCCCAAGGAGCTGGAGCATTGCTGGGTTAAATGATAAACATCTAAATATTTTAAAATAGTATACAATACTCAAACATTGATTGCTAGACACAATTTAATTCGCCTGCTCTTAGTTTTTATTACAGAAGGTCTCTTGTACTTTGTTGAATGTATATTTTCTTGAAAGGAAGTGTGTTGTTAAATGTCAATCTAAGAAATGTTGGCTGTTTACTTTTTGGTTATCCTTGAAAAATTAAGGTTTCTAAGAGTGAAGAATCCTAATATGTTTTAAAGAAAAAAGAAATAAAAGGTCTGTACAAGTTGCTGAAGGTATGACAGAGAGAAAGAATATTAGAGTAGAAATACTTAATGGAAGGTCTGAGGCATGGTTATGCATTTTTGAAGGACGTAGATAGAAGGTTTGAAGGCTAATTTAAAAGTGTGAAATTTGTGAAGGTTGCATATGTGATGAGAAGGAAACGAGAAATGTTGAAAGAAAGAAATAAGTTCTAAAGTTAACTATTTACAAGAAATATAAAAGGGCCAGTTTACTCTGATCAAGAAAGTGAGGTTTCAGTCTCCCAGCCTGGCAGGACAAGGTTGCTGGATCCTTCTTAAGCTAAACCAGAATATTCAGCAGCAGAATTTTAAGATAAGAGTATGCATAATGCCTCAGACCACCATCCAGCCTGCTCTTCAGATTGGCTGGGGCAGGGGGTGGGGGCAGGATCTGTACTTAATGGGTCAAATGTATAGGTTTGCTTACTTTGCTTTTCAATAAAGGAGCATACTTTAATTACTTGATAGGTTATCTTTTCACAATATAATCAAGGTCTCATATAAACTCATTCATGTGAGAAGCCAATATTTTATGAGCAACTGGTTCTAGTAAAGTCCAAAGTAAAATTTGCATATATATGCAAATGAGCACTAGCCAAAAAAGAATGCTATTTAGAAGTAAACTTAAGCTTAAAAAGAAGAAAAAAGTAAAAAAAGAAGAAATGTAAAAATCTCTTCCACTACTATTTACCAAGTAAACTAAAAGTTATTATTGAAGCATTAAATCTCACCATTAATGAGACACCATAAGTAAAAAGAAAGTTACTTTTACTTGAGATGTATGCATTGCAGTATTGGCCAACATGTTTCTCTCCTACCTATTTTCCTGGACAGCAACTAAGATGGTTGCTCTGCTTGAAAGAAAGTAAAAGTCTTTAGTGCAGCAATTTAAGGTTTAAAAGTAAAAACAGCAAGGATTAAGGTTCAGTAAAAATAAGAAGTTAAGCCAGCGAGTGGCAGATTATCACCTCGGGAAATTTAAAGTACTAAATTTGGCTGGTCTGAGTGCAGTGTCTTACTTCTTATCCAACCATCCTGGCCCCTGGCCTCAACTGCTCCTTTCCTTCCTTTTCTCTTTTCCCTTGGATAACAGCCCATTCTAGCATTAGCTCCGACTTTCATTGCAATAAAATCTCAACCACTCATCTGTCACCCCTTATTGGCAGTGCCATGGTGACTACCCTCTCAGCTTGGAGTGCAGAACTAGAAAAAGGAACCTCATACCCTTCAGTCCACCTCTTCTCCTTACACCTATCAGCTTGTCTCCATGATCAGGGATTTTTCTTCCTCTGTGGGGAAAACACATACATCTGTCTCCCCATCAGCTGGACAGGAATCTGTACTCTCATCTTTCACCCAATATAGATATAGCCCCCAATAAGCAGTCTTTACCTGCCCCTGTAACCCATCATATCTGACACAAAAGAGGAGTCCAGATAATCCCTCTCCTAATAACCCTGGGCATCACAGCAGGGGTTGGAACTGCCATAGGGACTTAACCACTGCTCTACTTATTTTGAAATCCTGTCTCAGGACCTACAAGAAACCTGTGGATGCCCAGCAAGGGGCAAAACTTGGAAAACAAGAACCTCACCCCCAGGGTGACCTACTCTCCCCTTTCATATCACTAATGAGGCAACTGAGACCCCTACTCTTCCCCCCCCCCTAAAAATAACATCTAGATCTCAGTTGTATTTCAGCTCCAGGCCTAGAAAAGCAGCAAAAGTACGCAAGTGATGCTGTGGCAGCCTCAGGACCAGCTTTTACCTCCCAAGTCACTCAACAGGACCACTTTCGAGACTTCACCAACCAGTCTCTTGGGAAAATCATGCTGCTGCAACCCTCATCCAGCCTACTACTATCAGAGTCCATTCCCCTGTGATCTTGACGTCCCACCTCAGCAGGAAGCAATTACAGAAGATATGACCTTCGTCCTTATTCCATCAACAAAAAGGCTGGAATGTTAGATTTGATCGAGCAATTGAATTGATACCCCTCCCGCTGGGAACTGGCTTTCCAGGTCATTTCACTATGGACATTCCCTTTGCTCAGACCACATTTCACTTGCAGTGACCACATTTCATTATCTCCCCCTCCAGTTATGCATAAAGAAGTCTCCATCCAGAAAAAAAATCCCGCCAAAAGTCCTTTAAAGGCCGCTGACTCCCGTCACTGGGTGCTGGAGCCATTCAGGCTCAGCCACCTGGTGTGTGGATGATCAAATAAGTTCGTAATCCCTCTCCATTCTGGCCTTGTGTGTTCCTCCTTCGACAACCTAACATCTATGACTAAAGAGGGAGAAGGATACCGATTGTGAGCGAGTGAATGAGAGAGAAACAGAGAGGAAGAGGCAGACTCCTGGGCCAGTTTGTTTCCTGCTGAGTGTCTTGGTCACGAGCACCGGAAGCCCCAGTGGGAGGCTCGGTGCAGAGCACTGCAGGGTCAGCGGCTGATTTGGAACCTGGCAGGGCTGTGTGACCACGGGCTTGTCAAATGTAAGCCTGCATTTCCCATCTGAAAACTGGAAACAGTAAGTCATGCAGTGAGCAAATGGGTACAGAGGCCTGCTTGGTGCAGGCACAGTATTAGTGTCGGGGTCAGAGAGAGGACCGAGTCACTATGTGGGACAAGGCCTGCTGTTGTGCTGGTATCAGGCCCTGAGCAGCACAGCACAGTAGTCAGGGCTTCACTCTGGGCCCAAACACATCCTGGGTTCAAATCCTAGCTCTGTCAGATTCTGCCAGCGTGGTCCAGGTGGATTTAGGCCAGTTACTGTAGCCTCTAAGTGCCTCATTTCCCCAGCTGGAAAGCGGGGACCCTGCAATTCCTAAACTCATGGGGTAGTCAAGATGATTAAAAGGCTGGATGCATATAAAGGGCTGAGAAGAGACACAGGACCTGATGGGGGGACCTATGCTCTGATAGAGCACCTGAATTAATCTGAAAAATAATATTATTTTAAATCTTAGAACACATATACTTATGTGAAGAGGGGGTTAAGTTTCTTATATGTGAATAAGGGGTTAAGTTTTCCTTAAGTTTTCTTTTCAAGGCCTGTGCGAAGTGATTAAGGAGGTGACTCAGCTGTGAATCCAGCAAGCAGAACCACTAAGCAGGGTTAGTCCCAGATTCTCATCAGTGGGGAGTCACTTCCATGGGGGAAAGGCCTACAGTGTTGGTACCTGACTCACTGTCAGCATCAGCCTCCCTCTGGCGTCTTTTAGGAGCACTTTCGCATGGGGTGGCAGAGTCAGCTGGTCTTGGCCACTTGCCAGCACGGAAGGAACTCCTCAGGGCACAGTGCCTGCAAATCGGCGGGAGCAGGGGACATCCCCGCTCTCCCGGGTGCTGCTCTGGGGCCATTCAGAGGCTACACTCAGGACCCACCCAGGCTGCGGGGGTGATGGAGGAGGGCCTCTGGCCAGCTGTGGTCACACATGGAATCTGGCTGTTGAACCTTCAGCTTGCCTCCCCCCAGTTTATTCAAGTCCAGCAGAGAAATAAGTCAAATGGAAATCTCCATTGCCTTCCTCCTCCTTATTCCCCATTCTACATCAATAGCTTCTAGTCCTGAGCTTTCAGACAAGAGGAAGGACTTCAGCTGCACATAGATTTTGGTGACAAGCAGCACAGGGACAGGTGTGAGGTCTTAATTAGAAAGTTAGATGTTGATGTTCCTTCTATCCCTTCTCTCTCTGTTTGTTATATGTTCAAAAAACATTCTTGCCCTAGCTGGTTTGGCTCAGTGGATACAGCATTGGCCACAGACTGAAGGGTCCTGGTTTCAACTCTTGGTTAGGCACATGCCCAGGTTGTGTGCTCGATCCCCAGTAGGAGTAGTGCAGGAGGCAGCCGATCAATGATTCTCTCTCATCATCAATGTTTCTATCTCTCTCTCTTCCTCTCTGAAATCAATAAAAATATATTTAAAAATATATATTCTTACCCTTGGTGGGATATGCCAAGGTTCCAGGTTTGATCCCCTGTCAGGGCAGAAACAAGAATCAGCCAATGAATACATACATAAGTGGAACAACAAATCAATGTTTCTCTCTGTCTCTCTATCAAATCAATAAATAACTTTAAAAAGAAGAAAAATATTAAGTGTCTATTATGTGGCCGGCATTGTTTTAAGCACAAGGAAACCAGGAATAAGACAGACAAGGTGCCTGCTCTTATGGAACCCCATCTCAAGTTTGAAAGGAAAAAAATGCATGTAAATACATTGATACATTATTTTATCCTCACAGGTGAAACAAATATAGTAAAAGGGTAAAGTGCTAGAGCAGGGGTGGGCAAACTTTTTGACTCGAGGGCCACAATGGGTTCTTAAACTGGACCGGAGGGCCGGAACAAAAGCATGGATGGAGTGTTTGTGTGAACTAATATAAATTCAAAGTAAACATCATTACCTAAAAGGGTACGGACTCTCTCTTTTTTTTTAGTTTTATTCATTTCAAACGGGTGGATCCGGCCCGCGGGCGGTAGTTTGCCCACGGCTGTGCTAGAGAGTAAGATATTTCACAAGGGACAACATTAGAAAGTGTGTGCCTTTTAGTAACTGGGTCAAGTTCTTTGCCAGTGAGGGAAAGCCCCAAGGCGACTCCTCCCCTCCTGTCCCGCCCTTACGGTTTTTTAGGTTCATGTTTATCTGGCGGATGAGGTGACTGGCAACCCTTCAGGTCCGTAAAAACTAAAAGATCCAAACATTTGTCTTGGTCTAATACAGCGGTCCCCCTCCCGTACCCATGGGGATATGTTTCAGGAGCCCCAGTGGATGTCTGAAACCACGGATGGTACCGAGCCCTCATCAACTTCTTCAGCTTCTTCAACTCTGCCAGGAACGTGGCAGCGGCCTCTTCATCTGCAGGCACAGCCTCTCCAGCAATGTTTATGTTTCTCAGTTTGACTTTATTCCTGAATCTGTATGACCATCCCTTAGTGGCAGAAAATGGCTTGGTGTCACTCCTTCCAGGGGTCCCTGCTGAAGGTGACGTTTAAGTTCTGTGCTCTGTGGAGCACCACGTTGTCGTCAATAGAAACACGTTTTCCATTCATGTCTTTTTTAAAATTTAAATTATTTATTGTGTTGTAATATACCCCGAAAATCACAGAAGGACGCCTCAAGAAGTCG